TATACTTTTAAATAACCTATTATTCTATTAAGTTTTCCAATAGAGTTAAGTTCTTACAATTTCTTCCTTTTGTTGAAGTTTAACTATGGGGTAAGAATAAAGAGTGACTTGCTCCGAGCCTGGTTATTTGACCAATCAAATTGCATCTAGAACACAATTGCTGGTATTTGCCTGTAAAGTAAGAAAAAGTTAGGGTCTGGGCTATCTTCTGAATATATTTTGGGTGGGTTTGATCTGGTTCATAAAACCAGCCAGACCTGATGAGTTTTTCCAGCTATTTCTGTTTCTCGCGAAACACTGTTGCCAACAAGCAGTTCTTGGCAGTTCTCTGGTGAGAAGCAGTATGGTGAGCAACAGCTCCCGATCTGACTTACCTGCGGCTTTCCATCTTCCTCCTCTTTGTGGTAACACAGGTAGACACCCCGAAGGACAAACCAGCGATTGTGCCATTGCTTCACCAGTGACCTCCTCTTCTTCAGCCAGCCTGATTTGGCAGGGCGTTCCAATGTGTTGGGTGACGAAGATCTGTTTGACACAGCGCAGTGATCCCCTGGCATCACACTCTTCGATCGACCTAGGAACAGTCAACAAACAAACAAAAAAAATAAAATCACAAGCTCAACTTCCAGCCACTGACCCTGATTTCCGAAGAGAGCTTCCACAATCTGAAAATCGTGTCTACGTGCATCTTTCTAGACATGAATAATTGTCACATGTCTCTTGTCAAAAACTAAGAAGTTGGTTTTATTCTTCCTTTTTCTTAGTAGGGTTAAAATGAGCTTTTATTGTCACATGTACTCAAGTGCAGGGTTACAGGAGCATAGTGAAAAGTGTGTACAATGTCATATCCTAGGTGCAAGGTAACTAGGTACAAAATCATAGGTACAAAGTATAAAAATAAGGGCATTAAGTTTATAAGTTCAATGTGAAAATCCCTTCTTAAGTGCTCAGACTTGCTGGGCTCGCACTCCCTATAAGGGTTTGATTTTCTTCGTACTGCGCTCAATTTCCTCCGCGCTCAATATTGCTGTAGACACCAGGCATCAAGTAACTAACCACCTCTCTCCCCAGAACCTGCCCACCATCTACAAGGCATAAGTCAGGAGTGTGATGGAATACTCCCCACTTGCCTGGATGGGGGCAGCTCCAACAACACTCAAGAGGCTCGACACCATCCAGGACAAAGCAGCCCACTTCATTGGCACCACATCCACAAACATTCACTCCCTCCACCACCGATGCTCAGTAGCAGCAGTGCGTACTATCTACAAGATGCACTGCAGAAATTCACCAAAGATCCTCAGACAGCACCTTCCAAACCCACGACCACTTCCGTCCAGAAGGACAAGGGGCAGCAGATACATGGGAACACCAACCCCCTGCAAGTTCCCCTCCAAGCCACTCACCATCCTGACTTGGAAATATTCTGCCCTGTCGCTGGGTCAAAATCCTGGAATTCCCTCCCCAGTGGCCCTATCCGTGTCTCCACACCACATGAACTGGTTCAAGGCAGCAGCTCACCACCACTTTCTCTCGGACAAGCGCTAGCACGCTCAGTGATACCCACACCCATTAAATGAAAAGAGAAATAAATTTTCTGAAGCTGTGTGAGCCACTCCATCATAACTTGGCCACAGTTAAATGTCAGCATCATCCCTCATTGCTGGCAATGAGTTGGAAGTGGCATTTTAAGGTTAGAATAGAATCCCTACAGTGTGGAAACAGGCCCTTCGGCCCAACAAGTTCACACCGACCCTCACAGCATCCCACTCAGACTCACCCCCCCGAACACTATGGGCAATGTAGCACAGCCAATTCACCTACCCTGCACATCTTTGGACTGTGGGAAAAAACTAGAGCAGCCGCAGCAAACCCACACAGAGATGGGGAGAATGTACGAACTCTACACAGACAGTCACCCGAGGGTGGAATCGAACCCAGGTCCCTGGCGCTGTGAGGCAGCAGTGCTAACCACTGAGCCACCTGCTGTGTGATTTAAGTTACATGACAGAACTTCAATGCAGATGACCTTTACAATGACCATCAAAAGCAGCTTTGAGCAAGAGAACCGTGTCTGTTAGAAAGTAGATTAAGAAAGCACACCAAAACAGCTCTTCATTGCTCATCATAATGATTTTTAAAAAGAGGACGGAAGTGGTTTACATGAGTACATGAGCTGGTGCAGTCTTTCAAGTGAATGAAGAAGTGACTGTCTGGTTTGTCAGTCCAATCAGTTCATCCCCCGCCCAGTGAAAAGGGCCGGCCTTTCGGGGTGGTTTCATTTTTGCAATTCCTGGTAGTCTGACTGACAAAAGTAGAAACGTGGAACTAGGTCAGAAAGCCAAAATGCAAACCCCAGCGATTAGGAACAGTAAGATGTTAGCAGTATCAATTCAGAGCTGGTTGCCTGTGAAAGAGGGGTACCACTATCAAAATCTGGATCAAAATCCTGGAATTCCCTCCCTCAGGGCATTGTGGGTCAACCCACAGCACATGGACTGCAGTGGCTCAGGAAGGCCACCTTCTCAAGGGGCAACTAGGGATGGGCAAGAAATGCTGACCCAGCCATTGACACCCACATCCCACAATTGAGTAAATTAAAAAGAAATCCGGTATTGTCGTCATTATTAGGACAGATGCAGCATGGTCCAATATTGAACCCTCCACTGCATCACTCACAAACGTTCTCCAGTTATAGCTGCATTGTTGTTCACGGGATCTTTCTGTGGGCACGTTAGAGGTCACATTTCTGACATGACAAGGAAGACGAGGGTTCAAGAGGTGCTTGTGAAGTAGAACAGAGAACATAGAACATAGAACAGTACAGCACAGTACAGGCCCTTCGGCCCACGATGTTGTGCCGAACTTTTACCCAAAACCTAAGGTCTATCTAACCTCCACCCCTACCTTATACTATCATCCATATGCTTGTCTAATAGTCACTTAAATGCCCCTAATAAGGCCGACTTCACTACCCTCTCCAGCAATGCATTCCACGCCCCGACCACTCTCTGAGTAAAGAACCTACCTCTGACGTCTCCCCTATATCTACCTCCACTCACTTTAAAACTATGTCCCCTCGTAATAGCTACCTCCACCCTAGGAAAAAGTGTCTGGCTGTCCACTCTATCTATACCTCTGATCATTTTGTACACCTCTATCAAGGGATTTAGCATATCCTGAAAGGTGCCACACAAATGCAGCTATCACAAATGCAAAGGTGTATCAGACTTGGTTGTTTCACCTCACCGATGCTGAGCAGGAGAAAGAGGAACAGTTGACACACATGGATCTGCTCTACCCTTCAAAATAATTCGAAGGTGAACCTTCAGTCTTGCGCACTCCACCGAGTTCCCTCATTGACCAGCACACCATTGATGCTCTCAGTTTCTAATGTACTCAACAACGCCATGAGAAGAACCGTGTGGGGTTATTAAGAAGTCCCCAGGTCTCTCAGTCCTTCCTCAATGAAGAAACGTCTCCCCATCTCAGTCCAAGGTGATCCTGACACACTATCTCCTCCACCCCTGTGCCCCTCCCCACTCCCCGGGTAACAAATTCCCCACTGGTGGGTGGGCTGGGGGTGATCGACCTCCCAGGGTCTGTCCTGGCAAAGGATCTCCCGGTGTGTCTCAATCAGGTCCTCCTCCGAAACGCCAGAGAATATCGGCCCAACTAGGTCAGTGTCTCCTCAATCCAGAAAACTTCCTCATCCCGGAAAATGCCCTCATACCACGCTCTGAACCGGAGAAACTTCACTCCAAAGCCCCAGCCCTGCTCCCGCAATGATGTGGCTTGGTGTCAAATTCTATTTGATGAACACAGTCAGGAAGCACTTTGAGGCATCAGCTGCATGAAAGTGGCTATAAAAATGCACACTATTGATCTTAGCTTCATCTGGCTACATGAGAGAGAGAGAGAGAAATTCAGGTAGATTCCTAGGGCAAGCTGACTGTTGGCACTCAGCACCATTACAATGTTGAATCTTTGATATCAAATCCTGAGCACAGATTCTGTGACCTGAGATAGTAGGAACTGCAGATGCTGGAGAATCTGAGATAACAAGGTGCGGAGCTGGATGAACACAGCAGGCCAAGCAGCATCAGAGGAGCAGGAAGGCTGA